TGCCAGTATCTTTGTAAAATCATGAGGAACCTCATGACATTGCTGTGAAGATTAAAATAAATGACATAAATGTAGCATTTAGAGCAGTGTCCAGCATAGGGTGGCAACTCAGTACAAGCTTTTGCTGCATTGATGGAGTCATCAGCATGCACGTCTGTGGACTCAGCCTAGGAAAGGGTGCCTTGTCCAATTATGTGTCTGCCCCAGTTGGTCTGGCTGCCGGTAACAGATGGCCCTTTAGGAGGAGCACCTGACACAAACTAAAAATCTTCAAGGCCACAGAAGGGGGGCTTTAATTATCGCTGAGCTCTGCCTCTGCCACCACCTGTCTGGCTGAGTGGGCCCTCAGCAGCAGCTGCTCCAGCTCTTCCTGTCACTGGCAGGCATGCTTCAGCAGGACGCTTCTCATTCCTCGTGTCACCTGTCTTTCCCTCCAGCCCTAGGTATTCCCTGTTCCCAGTGATGCAGGAGACTCTGGGTCCACTTGCACCCACGCGTGCCTGTGGGCTCCTTGAGCAGGGCCCAAGGCACTGCGGGCAGACAGGCGGCGGCAGGGGAGTGTCTCTGGCTCATGGCCAGTGCCTGGAGGCTGTGCTTCTGCTGCCCTGGGATCTGGCTTCCTCGGTGGCCTCTGGAAGGACCAGATGGAGCAACAAGTGTGGAGAAAGGAGGGTTTAAATCCCATGAGCAAGTCTGATCCACAGAAATGGGAGCCAGGAGATGGATTCTCTTTCCTCCTCACAGTAGGATCGCTGAGAGGCTGAAAAGCAACCAGCCCCACTTGTTACAGCTCCATGTCAGCCTGAGAACACCTTCTCTTCCATCTGCTCTCTCTCCTTTCCGGCCTTCCTTGTCTTTCCTCTCAGTCCTGCTTTCCTGCGACTGCACCGCTGATGAAAGGCTAGCGAGTAACATGTGCCTTGGGCTCAGTTTCATAGGGAACCCAGCCTGAGACACAGTGCGCTCCAGATCTGGGGCTTGGGGCCTGGACTCGGGGAGTGAATCTGGTTCTGGCCCTGCTGCCCACAGGGCCTTGGGCAAGTTATATAACCTCCCCGTGCTTTACTGTCCTCAGCTGTAAAATGGGGATAATAATAGTTGCTACCACACAGGGATTACTGGGAGGATTATATGAGTAATAATTTATAAAATACATAGTAAACACCCAATAAATGGTAGCTATAAGTATTTGGTTCTGTGGATTATTCAGCATATCATCTTTTGAGTTTCCTTCCCTGTTTTCTCAGTTCCCTGTTTCCTAAAGCATATATTATGTGACTATCGAACTTCCTGAATTGATTTTCCACAGCTTTTATGTTTTCTGACATATTTTCCATATCTTTATCATTTTGTTCTACTTTTGAGAGGTACCCCCTTCTTTATATTCTAAGTCTTCTAGGAAGTTTTTATTTTGGTAGCATGCTTAAAATTTCCAAGATTATTTTGTTCTGCACTTGGTTCCTTTTAATTGCGTTCCATTCGTTTTGGGGAGGAAGTGTGCATAATGTTTTCTCATATACTTAAGGACACTAATTAGAAGTTTTAAGGTTTTCCCCCTGTATTTGACAGTATTAGTCATTCATGCAGTTTCTTTTACTTTTGCTGTTTGATTTGGTCTCTTTAGGGGAGAATGGTGGGAGGTTTTCTTCAATGGTTGATGATCCTTGGTTGTCTGTATTTAAGACTATGGCATAAATAAGCTCTGAGAGCTATGTTTGCATACTGGGGTGGGGAGGAGGGGTTGGCAGGTGGGAGTCATTCCTTTGAAGCCATTCCCTCTCCCTGGAGGCAGACATGTCTCCCCTGCCTGGGGTTGGAGCTGGGCCTTCAGTCTGTGTCCAGGGCAGAGGAAGGTGCCTAGGTTTCAGTCACCCATTTGCAACTTCCAGTTACTTGTTTTTCAGCCCAAATGATTCACCTTTGTCCTCTGCTTAACCTGGAGTTTCTAAGATGGATGCCTCTCTCTTCCAGTTTCTACCGAGAACCATGCTCTGATCTCTTTGCCCAGGAACACCCTGCCAGCTGCCGGTGACGGGGTGGAAGCAGTCAGCTTCCATTCTTCAATGACAAGCCCTACTCCCTGTCCTCTGGCATGCCTGGCTTCTCTGAAGTTAAGCTCCTGCAAGCTCTGTGGGTTTCCTATGGAGAGCTGGTACCTCTCCTCCAACGTGTCTGCTCTCTACCTTCCAGAAATCAGCTGCAGTCAATTTTCTGTGTTTCTTTTCTTCTTCCATCCTCCAGGCTTATAACTCCTTTCCCCTCACTCCCACTCTCCTTTGCTTTCATTTGAGGGAGTTTTTAATCAGAAGAATTTTGCGCATCTCTTTTGAAAGGCTGACTGTCACCACTTAAAAGGGAACATTATATGCCCAGCATAGCCAAAGAAACAGTTTCCAGTGCCTGATGGTTCCCTCCAGCAGAAACAAGGTGAGCTGAAAAACTGAATTTTGGAGGGCTTCCTGGGAGTGTCTGCTATGGGGTCCAGCATTTCCTCTCTGCCTGGGGTGGGCTCTGTCTGTGCCAGCTTGCCCTCCTCTCCGGGACGATGCTGACACTTGTCCAACTTCCTGTTCTTTGCCTTAGTGACAGCACTCCTCTCCAATGTCACAGTTCTTTCCTCTTTGTGCCCAGGTGTAAGGTTACCAGATTCAGCAAGTAAAAATGCAACATCCACTGAAATCTGTACTTCAGAGAAATGATGGATAGTATTTTTAGTATTAAGTATATCCTATGCAATATTTGGGACATATTTATATCAAAATGTTTTCATTGTTTATCTGCTATTTCAACATAATTGGCCTTCCTGTATTTTATCTGGCAACTCTGTCTAGTGGCCTTTCTTTTCTTCTCAGCAGATCAAGGTAGGCCTCAGTGGTTGGCTCAAAGGGCCTTTGTCTTCACACCATTTCTTTTCTTAAAGGGACCGACAGCCCTTTACATAACGTATGGCAGTCTCACACCCATGCAATTGTAAATTAGAGCCTGTTTATTCATTGTCAAGTTAGGAATGCAACCATATTTCTCAGCTGTCTTCAGTTGCCCAGCCTCAGATTCAACAAATAAATGTGTTGTTCTAATAGCATTCATGCCATTGTGTGGCCTTTGTTGATTGCCTGCACCCGCTCAGGGGCCTCAGGGTGAGATGGCCCTGCTGCCCGACTGTGACATGGCCACCAAGGGCAGCATCTCCAGTGTCTTTGGAGGGCCTGGAGGTAATTCTTCCAAGATCTCGGTTTTTAAGAACATTACCACATCCGCTTGGTTTCCTCCTTAATAGGTGCTGGCAGGTGACAGGTGTACAGAGCAAGATTTTTCGGTATTATGTGCCTGAAAACACAAACTTGACAAAGAGCACTTGTCCCAAAGAAAACCTGTTTTATGATTGAACCAATTACATGAAGGAACACAGGAAATGAGCATAATGAATATAAACTGCTCAGGAAAGCAATTCACAAGATAACATTAACATTTTGATTTAATCCCCAGAGAGCCGTTCTTTTTTAGGTAATTTCCCGGAAGATATCATTCTTTTCAAGTTATAAACTGGCCTGTGTTATTTCATTCCTGTGTCCCTGTCAAGAACTCTCCCTGCTACATTCGTGAGGAGACCCAAGCCGGTCAGCTCTGAACAGAGCTGGACTAAATATATCCCTTCGAGGAGCCTCCAGTCCTTGTGTCAGATCAGCGTCCTCTGTCAGCTGGGGTTGATTTCCTTCCTGCTTCCCTTCCAGCCAGCAGGGCAACCTCAGAAGCCTCTAGGGTCAGCCTCAGAGGCTGGCGTGATGCACAGAGAGACTTCTTAAAGGCCTTGTCTAGTACTTGGCGTGGCTGGCCCCCCTGCTCTTCACTGCCATTTCACCAGCACACACATTTGTACACCTGTTGCGTATCCTGCTTCCATGTCACATGGAAAGCACGTCCCCAGCCTGGCAGCAGACTCGTGCTAAAGGACAGCTTCTGCACATGAGGTCTGTGGTTCGCGAAATGCTGGGGCGCTTTGCCTTGTTTTTCCCAAATGGAAAGAAATTAGGTCTTGCGGCAGAGTCTGAAATGGGAAGTTATATTTTTCTTTTAGTTTTCTTGGGACTGAGGGGTTTGCCCGGATGTGGGACTTCATAGCTAAAACTGGGACAGTCTTGGGCAAACCAGGACAGCTGGTCACCCTCGTCGCCTCCCCACCACTGATCCTTAAAACCCCTTCACCACTCCTTCTAGTGGACCGCGGGGGCTGGGAGAGCCCATAGCCCAAAACCGGTCTTTGGAAATTCTTACCACACACAATCCAGAGATTTTAGGGGTTTCACATTAAAGCATAAGGAGGATGCCAGTAAGTTTTTGAAGATATTTGTGAGAAAAGGCAACTTAGGAAATGAAAGGGAAAATGTAACTCTACTTTTCATTTGTAAAATCTTTAAAGAGCTATTTAAAATGTTTGTTTATAGCTCGCTTGCATTTTGCTGTTTCAGTAAATGTTTTTAATAAATAGTAAATAGAAAAATTGGTAATTGCACATCTGTAGAGTTTGAACCCAGAACCCCAGTCTGTGACTTGGCAGATCCTCGACCTTTCAGACTGCCCAACCCATGGCATTCTGCCTCCACCTGGTGGTAGTGCATGGAAGTTATGTCCTGACCACCACCCACCTCCCCATTTCCCGTGCGAGCTGGGAGCCTCCGTTTGGGGACCTCTGAATCTGTAAAACCCAATTATAAAGACACCAGTTTGTCTCATATGATGCTGTCATCCTTATTTGGAATGCAGGGTCAGTATGGAGCAAAGACTATGTCTTTATAACTGCTTTACACCTCACTCTGTGAGCCCATGAAGCCTTAAAAAATAATTACCTTAATTGCCTAGAAAATATAAGAATATTGTAAGCAGACATGTGAAGTGCATAATTTGTGAAAATGTCTTAAGTGTATAAATCTTACTAGATTTTAATAATCAAATAAAACTCATAATGAATTTATTAATCAGATATGGTTCATCATATCCTGAGTTATCACAGAGTTCCACAGTTGTTAGCTGTCATCAGGGGACTTCATCCAGATGCTTTCACACAGGTAGATCTTTTTTTCTCTTTGCATTCTTTTTTCTCTTCAGTTTATTAATTCTTCAGCACTGAAATAATTGCTGAAGTTCATGAGTTGTTTTTCTCATGAACATACTTCATGAGAGCAGAAAAGGCTCAAACCTCACCTGTGCATTTCGCTTCTTCGTTGGGGGACGTCATTTCACGTTGCTGGGGCTGGGCTTCTGGGTCTGTACAATATAGATAACAATTATGTATGTCATCAGGTTGGTGTAAGAGTCAAATACATGTGTGGGCATGTGCGCGTCTGCTCTCTTATTCAAATGTTAGTCTCCGCACCATCACTTGCAAACTGGAGACAAAGTTTACGGATCTGACTTCCTAGCCCCTAGCTGCCTTCTGCCCTCTATTTAGATCCCAGGACTGAGTCTCCCTGGAATATATCCAGGAATTCTAATTCCTTCTCAGCCTGCTGGTTCTCCTCCCTGCCAAGACCTCTCCCAAGCCCACACCCCCGGCCTCTCCCCCACCCTGCTCCTGGCCCCCGCAGTAGATGACAGCTACTCGTGCCAGAGAAGAGGCAGCAGGCCTAGCCTGGCCTGCAGTTCTGTGGCGTGGGAAGGGCCCCTGTGAGGGTGGATGGGGACCTAGATGTTGCCACAGAGGGGACAGGTAGAGTTGCGGGAAATGGGGGGAGTGCAGGGGTGGGGAGACGAATCCCACTACCACCCAGGTCCTCTGATATAAATAAAACAGTAATATCTTCAGGTCGTTTTAGGAACAACCTGTGTGGGATTAATGGGATCAATACATAAATCAAGTAATATAGGAATCAGATGTCCAAATACATATGACCTGATTGTTTCTCCCACAACTCCTGATGCATGATCAATAACAGAATGAGTAAAGACAAAACAGTTCCTACAACTCGTCACCACCCTCACATGGTTTCCGTGTCCTTTAGGAGCATCACGCCCTAGGGCTGGACTCAGGGTCAGATAATGATTGTGTGTTGGTCATGTGTGGAACCCCCTACTCAGAATTCTTTGGATGTTTGGGTTCATTTGCTCAATAAATATGAGGAGTGCCTTTTTGGCATTACTCTTGCACTGTTACGCCTTGAGTCACCTGGCTGGCCCTTCCAGATCTTCGATATCTCATCGCGTCTCCTCCCTTATCTGGGGGACAGAGGCAGGGAGGGGACTGACAAACCTGACTCCAGGGGGAGGAGAATCTTATATCTCCTTGCCCTGCTTATCTCACCGAAAAAAAGAAGTTGGTGCCATCCACACTTTATCACCTCTTCCAAGCTTGCCTGATTGTTGTTCCTTCAGTAAGAGGCAAAGCCTCTAACTCCCCAGAATGAAAGGTGTGAGACGGGTTCTGGGAACCCGGAGGGCCCCCGGGGAGGAGTGGCTGAGTGTCAGAGGGGGCGGTGCACCCGGCCTGAGGAAGTAGAGCTCCATCAGTGGAAAATGGAGTGTGAGAATCATGGTCCTCACAAGAAAGGCAAATGCTGTCCTGTCCGTCCAGGCCTCCACCATGCTTTCTCCTGAGCTGGGCTAGGGCCCCTTCTCACACCTCACCTTCCCTAACCTGCCCTTCTCCACACACGTGCGCAGAGGGCTGGCTTGTGTTTCTTGCAGAGCTCATCCAAGTCGTGTAGGATCATGTGGCATGCATCTCTGAAACACCACTTTGATGCCACACTCAATCTTACAAATCTAGTGTTAATTTTTGTCTTCATCTTGAGTTCTTCCTAATAGGGAAAAAAAGAAAACATTTCAAATCTTCTTTTGGAATGATGTTGAGGTTTCCAACGTTTTGGTCATTTTTATAAGACTTCAACTCACTGCTGTTTGGGGCCTCTAATGCCTCCCCCAACTCCCTTACTCCCTTCTGTGTAACGTCAACAATTTAGGATTTGCCTCTTGGCTTCTAAAATCATTCCCACCCTTGGTGATGCAGTTTCTGCTGAGCACTGGCTTTGCTGGAAAACCTGCCTCCCAGGTGATGGAGGCTGTATTACCCTATTGGAGTGGGAGAAGCTGCTGAGTTCTTCCAGAAAAAGAAAAAAAAAAGAATAAGAAAGCATGTGCTGACACTCTTCCTGCTGCTGAGGCCCAGGCTGCTTCCTGGGCAAGAGCCCACATCAGGCTGTGAACCTTCCAGAAAAAAATGCCAGCCTACTCCCTCCTGTCTGGAGTCTGAAGACTAAGGAGCTGTGGAGGCCCTGCAGCGCCCGGGGGATGTGTTGGGAGATTGGTTCATCCATTCATGGAGGCACGGTCCATGCCCAAACCTCACTTTAACACGTCTGACGTTGGAGGGGAAGGCCCGCTGGAGGTACCACTGTCTGTACGTCCAGAGCCTGCAGGCTGCCTCTTGGGTGGGACGACAGGGAGGCCAGAGCACCTAGGCCCCGTCTCCAGTGGGGTTGGCAGAATATTTCTGAGATAACGATTTGCCTTCAGAAAAGATTTCATGTGAGGTTTCTTCATTTAAAAAGCTTTTCTGTGTTTGAAACCATAACTGGTGAGACTGTCAACTATCTCATGTAACACCTTTCATATAAACCCAAATCAAAGTCTTTTGCATGAAATTATTGCCAGAAAACATTTTTGTTTCTATAGATAAAATTCTGGCTTGAAATGGAAAATGAGAACTATATAATCCAGTACCTTTTCCTCCAAGTCTCAGGTGCCAGAGAGCTTAAAGCCAGTCATTGTTCAAATGTCCTTACCTGCTCAGGTCAAGTACTTGATACATACTTTCCCTCAGCTGTTTTTAAAAATTAGACTATTTGTCTGTCCATCCATCTCTCCATTTTTTTTTTTGGACTGTGTTTTATTCTGTAAAAGGACCTGAGTCCCTGGCAAAAGTGGGTATGCAGGTACAGACCAAACTTGAGCTTATTCCTTGGACTGTAGAAAACATGGCCCTTTCAAAACTGCAGTAATTTCTCCACATAGTCAACTTCAGACACTTTTCAAGCATTGCGTGGTGAAGCTAGGATACCCAGAAGGGGACCAGTTTCTATTTTTTTAAACAGAATTGCTGCACTCACTAGGTGAGAGGGCTGGCGGCGGTGTTGAGGGCCCAGCAGCAGGGGTTGCATCTGGCAGGCAGCTGCATCCTAAGGGATTATTTCTGTGGCAAGATTTGGCTGCCTTCCTGCTGCCTAGGTTCCAGCCCATGCTCCTGGGCTGGCTCTTCTGCTTCTGGCCACTTCTCTGAGCTTCCTGGTAGCTTTCTGTTAAGTTAATCACACTGAGTTTCTATTGCTTGCAACCAAGGAGTTTGACGCATTTTTAGTCAGCACATTACTCGCTTCGGTGATTCACTCCCTCAGTCAGTATTCTCTGAGCAACACACCTGTGTGGGCAGGCTTTCTCTTTCTTCACTTTATAGATGCAGAAATTGAAGCTCATGGAATATAAGTTCTGAAAATTAGTATTTTAATCTAGCATGTGGTGTTTTTTTCATTTCTGTATGATCTCCCTGCAAGCAGCAGAGTCAACATTTCATCTCAAATCCTGGAGGGACTTTTCTGATCACTGGGAAAATGTGCATGTTCAAGACCCCAGCAGTCATCTGCTCACTTGGCGTTACGCTCTTATCTAGGAAGAGCGTAGGTGTGATAGCCAGAGACCTTTCCTCTGTAAGAACAACATAAGCCCCGGTACCTGGGGCTCAGGGTAGGACCTTTTAGAACAGCACCACTGGGAGGCTGAATGGTGGGGAGGCAAGGGAGGGATTCGAAGGTCGTGTTAGAAGGACAGTCATATGTCATGATCATCATTTCTGCAAATTATCCTGCCTAGAATACAAAAGAAGCAATAGTTTTGCAAATTAATTCCACTGAAACAAAGAACTTCTTTCTCTGTTATTAAGACTGGGCTAAACCTTTCTTTCCCTTCCAGTGAAAGAAAAAGAAAGCAGTGCCAACAGTTGTAAAACATAAAACCTCCATTTTCCAAAGCACTAAGCAGGCAATGGGAGATTTGGGGTTGTTTGATGAATTGATGATATATAGACAACCAACTTAAGGCTATTCTGCTAACTTAAAGGTCGCTGTTCTGTAAGGCATAGATAACAGAACCCTTCTTAATAAATATCTAGCAAAGGGAGTAGGGTTGGGAGTTTCGACAGTGGAAAGTAGTAAACTCCCTTCTGAAGGGGAGACCGTGGCCCTTCTTGGAGTCACATGTGTTGCCGGTGAGTAAAGGGAAGGGTGCGGTGGGAAGGAGGAAGTATTCTGTGGCTCCTGGCTTCACTTTTAATGACCTACAGATGAGCTGTGGAATGTAGTAGAAATTCTTAATCTGACACTCCCTCTTTGCCTGTCGTGCAGCATTCAACTTGTTCTTATAATGCTATTTGCTAATCCTACATTCCTTTTTTACTATGATTAATGTCACTTACCAACGTCTCCATCTTTTAGGGAGTAATTTAGCTTGCACAACTGACAAAGCTGTCATTTTTCAGTTCACACTGTGGACGAGGTGAAGGTAAGCTGTCCTCAGAGGCATGATAAGGGACTCAGCCGCCATCAGAGCCCTGTGTTGATCATGGTGTCGGCTTTATGTCTTCCTGATACAGGTAAACTTTCTCCACTCAACGGGGGTGTTGCTATCAGCAGCTTCAAGGTCCTTAGCCTCAGAGCTTTGCCACCAGAGAGGAAAAAGCCTTTCTCCCTCAGTTCTAATTTTTACAGTCCTCGGAAGGGACTCTAATTGGCTTGGATTGGGTCCTATGTTCAACCCTGGGTCAATCATTGCAACTAAAATATCTAAATGTAAAAAGATAGCCACTCTGATTTGGATCACATGTTATAATATAAAAAGGGATGGGGGCAAGAAATTGTTCCCCCAAATGAAGGAGGCATTATTCCCAGAAGGGAGAGGTGCTTGGCTAACCAACAAATATTTATTGAGCACCTATTATGTGCCAGAAAGCACTTTTAGAAGCAGGAGCCATGCCAGAGCTCTGAGCATTTTCAGAAATCTTGTGGAAAACTTTGGAATCCCACAGAGCATGGAATGGGGCTTCAAGCCCATCTTAACCATACTGCAAAGGGTTTGAGAGATCTTAGCTGGTATCTGGGTTACACTGTGTTAGAAATCAAATGAAAATAAAGTATTGTCTTTGATGGCAAGTAACTCTAAAGATAAGAGAATTTTTTGCCCCAGAAGTTTTCACTACTGGCATTAGTGTTCTTAGTAGTTAAGAAAATTGGTAAGGAACTGAAAGGCCATATGGTAATAGTGCAACATAGTACATTTGTTGTCAGAAGACTTGGTGTCTAGTTTTGACCCTACTCACAACTGGATGGCTTTGGGTGTCTCAGGTGGGGCTCCTCAGAAGGCAGACTCTGAAATGGAGATCAATATGTAGGAGGTTAACTAGGGCATGCCCTTGAGATCAACACCTAGGGAAGGAGGAAGAAGGCCTGGGCAGAGGGAGAAATTGAGCTGGGATGCAGTCACAGCCAGGGCTCAGCCTGCCGCATGGGAGCTGTGGAGCTGACGTGGCCCTGCAGAGTCGTCCTGAGTTGAGACAAGGGGACTGCACTTTACACCCTGCATATCAGTCTGTCTTTGGGGGCAGGCTCATCTCAGAGAGGAGAGGGATCTTTGTTGGGGCAGCTCTTTGCAGCCCAAGGCAATCCTGGCAGGGAGTGCCAGCAGCGGGCTCTCAGCCAGCAGCATTCCTAGCAGCTGCGACTGGCTCTTTAGTCTTGGAGGGGCATCTGGTCAGCACAGCACAGCATCTGCTGCATGGGATGAGTCATTTCACTCCTCCAAGCCTCAGTTTCCACAACTATAGAGAAATTGGCTCACTTGGTCTTTAAATCTATTTCCAACTTTAAAATCTTTCATTACGGTATCAGGTATTTATTCGTGCTTGTTTCCTGAAGTCTCATTTCCTAAATATGCCTTTGAAAACACCTGGTGACACATGAGAAAGAAAAAGGAAAATGTTTATGAGTGAATTTGAGTAACTTTTAGGATATATTGTTAAGTGAAAGAAGAGAGGTACAAACCCCAGGTATAGTAGGATATCTTTTGCCCAGAAAGAAGGGAAAATGTTTGTGTGTGTGTGTGTGTGTGTGTGTGTGTGTGTGTGTGTGTGTGTGTGTGTGTGTGTGTGTGTGTTGCAAAAAGAAACAGAGGAAGGACAAACCAGAAATTAATAAAACTTACAAAAGGGAGGGGTAGGCCTGGGGTGGAGGGAATGGCTATGGGAATGTCATTGTCTTATATACTTGGAAAATTAAATTAAACTAAGGAGATGGGAAGAGGCGAACTTTATGTTGGAATGTAATCAAAAGCAAATGAATCTAGCTCTATGCTGCATCGATAAAATAGCCACACAGAGAAGAGAACTGATTCAAGTCAGTTTTGATACTGGGACTCTGGCTGACCATCCTTTAGTGGGATATAGTCTAAGAACACAAACAAGTCAATAGCATCTAAAGCTTTAGTGTGTTTATTACATTGGTGATTAGTACTGTTAGTATTATAATTGTGAAACTATATATAAATACTGGAGGAAAAAGCAAATAAGTAGATATGGTAATATTATTAGGAATTAAGACTTTACTATAAAATAAATGAAAACAGAAAATAAGCTTTAAAGTCTTTTATATTAAATTTGAAGAGATGAATATATATAATACTAACATGTTATATATATATACATTTATAGTTATATTTCCCAGCTTTTCCCAATTTAAAAATTTACAAGTAATGACACTTATTTACAAAGAGCACACTTACGCGCCAGATCTTGATGTGACTATCATTTTCCATTAAAAAGAAACAGGATTCCTTGGAGAACGGCTGAATCTAGAATTGGGCAAGGCAAATAAGAGGTGAATCAGAAATATTTTATATTGCTAGACAGAAGGAGGGGCTCACAAACCAATGTGTTCTTTTAAAACAGGATATAGGATCCATCTTAAAGGGGCTCCCTCTGGGACCATTTGGACATCAAAGAGAATAAAGTAACTGATTATATCACATTAAACATAAAGGAAATTCATGAGACTGTAGTAATATGAAGGAAGGGGAGAAGGAAAGGAGGTTGGGGGAGACAGAGAGAGGAAAGAGAATAAACAGAAAGGTCTTTTTTTACAGAATATATAAATACAGAAGGAAGGATAAAATGAGGCAGTCCTTCTAAGCCCAACATAATGATGGATGCAGGTAAGGATCTTTGAAGGATGCTAAACAGGCAGGTGATAGGTTTATTCATACGAGATCAAAGTATTATCCCACAGGTTACTATTAACAAAGGAGATGAACATGTACCTTTACTCTGGAGAGATCTGGCTTTCCCCACCTTAACCAAGGGATCAAACTAAACATTACAAATACTGGGGCAGCCTGACCTAACGTGGCTCCTGCTATGATGCAACATGAATACAGATTGTCTATGAAGCATTCTTGCAGGGGATGTTTAACCTGAATCTGATCAAGTCAGCAGACCTAACCTTCAGCGTGTAAGGACACATTGAATTTCACCTTGAGGAATCAGCCAACCTTATCCAGAATGTGTAAAACATTCTATAAAATAACTAGACTCCTCAAAAAGTCGATGTTAAATACATTTTTAAAATAGAAGAAGAAAGAAAAAGAGCACTCTTCAGATAGAATTTTACAATTTCCGATTTTCCGATTTTTGATCGAATGGAGTGCAAGAATTTGGTACAATTGTAGAAATATAAATGCAAACTGGATGTTAGATTTCTGGAATTACTGTTTTTCTTCTTCTTAAATGTGATTATGTGTGATTATGTATAAGAATGTCCTTATTCCTAGAAGATACATGGTGAAGTATTCAGTGAAGAAATGTCATAAATGTCTGTAACTTAAAAGATTTGACAAAAAATAATAATCATATGTATTTTTCCTCCTGTATTTCACCTGTAGATGGATGGATGGATGGGTAGATAGATCGATAGAAAATGACAGATAAATTAAGCAAATGCAGCAAAATGTTAACGATTGATGAGTCCAGGTAAAGAATGTATGTATATTAGTTCAATTCTTTTTTCTCCAAAGTTAAAATTTTTCAAGAAAAAGTTGGGGGAAAATGCCTGGTTGTATGACAGAAGACCTTGAAAAGTACTTGGATTTTAATCTTCTAAATCTTTCATTGTGTAAATTGCACAATTAAAGCCTAAGGAGGTAAAGCAGCCTGCCCACTGCCACAGTCAGTGATCAAGAGAGTGCGGCCTCTGGGTTATTCCCACTACTCTGCTGTCTTATGAAAATTAACCTCTCGTGTCAAATTCTTTCTAATCTCTTTTAGCATTGCACGGACTTCTTCATATCCAAATGGCTCGGGGAGGGCAGGGCACACACAACGCCTTGACGTCGGTCCCGTCTCTCTCCCCGAGGCTGCGGTTTGCCCTTCTCACTGGAGCCGAGCATCTGGGACACAGGGCTCCCAGGAGCTCTCCGGTGGACCCACTCAGCCCGTCTCAACGACCAAGCCTTCACTGTCTGCATGTTTCATTAACTTGGGGCCACTCTCACTGACTGGCTGCAGCATGTTTCTTAATATTTTGGGGCTGATTTTCAAAAAGCATCTTTGCAGTATTGAAACAAATCAAACATAACCAAGTCAACACAACCATATCTTGGCCATACTCATTGGAAACCTCAGTTGTAAACAAAAGGCTATACTCTGGGCAGTATGTTCCCACAAGCTCCAGAAAAGTAACCTGAAATACACCAACCTATAAATAAACCACAAGGCTGAGTTTGCCCAAGAACATTTTGCAAGGTAGTGAAATAATGAAAAATAAACATGTTTCCCAATCAGCCCTTTTTCCCCCACAGGAAGGGAGGTAGTGGTGGAGATATGTTCTGGAAATCAAGCATAAACCACGGGTTTAAGTCTGCCAAGGTAGAGAAGTGGGAACAACTCAAGGATCTTTATTTAGTAAGTTCGGGTTGAACTCTTCTGCTGGTTGACATCTTCTCCCCACCCCCCATTTTTTCATTATCTCTTTCCTATTCTGATGTGCTCACAGCTTATGTTTTTTTGTTGACTGGAACACAATGATTTTGGTTCTTAATGTGTATTGGAAGTGGGTTATAAAAAATTTAAGACACTCAACCTCTTTTCCCCTACCTAGTTGTTGCTTACAATGAATCTCTTTTCAATGAATATCTAATGAAGGTAGCTGTTAAATAAAAATGAATGTTATATATAAAATTGTGAAATGTTATTTTCTACCTTGTAAAGAAAAAAAAAATCTATCAGTATAGAATGTATAATTTATAGTCAGGCAGGAAGACAGTGGCAACAGGAAACAGTGTTACAGTTTCTAGAAGTCCCTGTTGCAGTATTCCATATATCCAGACAGCTCTCTTTGACTGGCTGGCTCCTGGACGCATCTGAGTTTGAGACCTACATTATCCAGTTTCAACTCAGTTAGATAAAATAATTTCTTTTGATAAAAATAGGTATTTATATCTATTATGGCACCTTGTGCATTCAAGACATAACAGATAAGTGATTTTACATTGCTTTTTTAAATTTGCTCCTCCCAGCAACCCTTTGAGATAACTGTAGTTATCATAACCACTTCAAAGATGGTAGGTATTCTGACTCTTGGAGAGGCTGTGTGACTTGCCCGTGGTCACATGGTTAGTAAGGAGCAGAGCCGGGGCTCAAACCCAGAGACTACGCTAGCTAGCAGATGACCAAGGCAAAAGAGAATGCTGAGATGCAGTATCTGCTGCTAATTTCCTTGAAGAGCAAAAAAGCAACATGGTAGTTTAAAAAGGAGTAGAGATCAAAGACCCAGTAATTGGGATTGAGAGCACATGGTTGTTTTTCTGAGGACCTTAGCATTTATTAGTTGGTAGCCTTTGGAAAAACTCTTTCCTCTCATTGCCTCAGTTTCACAATCTATAAAATGAGGGTGAGGAGACACTTAAGCCGCTGGCTTCTCTTGTACCTCAGCTGAGAAAAGATTTGTCGCTTTGCTTTGGCTCCCTCTGCTGGGCATTGAGGAGAACTCATTTGTTGCCCAAGCCATTTCAGATTTAATCCAATCATTTATGGAAGGCTTGTCCTATACAGGGTCCAAGGTCCTGGGGGGCTCCTGATTACCTGGTGAGGAGACTTAGTCTAGAAATGATTATGAGTCACTTTCTGATCAACACTGAGCAGAGCAGAAACAGTGAAGGTCTAAAGTAACTAAAGATTCTATTGTATGCATGGAAATCAGAAAATCAGAAAATAATATAATAACAAAAACATGGAAGTAATGAGAGCTAATATCTATTAAGCACAGACAATAGGCCAGGCACTCTCTAAGGCACATTATCCACGTTCATTTCCATTTTATCCTTAAAATAATCCTATGGAAGTTGCTGTTTATCATCCTCACTTTGCCCTGGCGGGGAAGTTAGAATCCAATTCCTTCCTTTACCAGATGAAGAAATTGATGCTAAGGGACATTTAGTGGTTTATCCAACATCATACAGCTGCCGTCAATAGGCAGAGCTAAGACTAGAAGCTAGTCCAGAATCTTTTTATTCCTTCATCCAGCTTCTCCAACTTAAAATCTGGTGGAGGAGAAAGAAGTAATATACCAAGACATAATTAGCAAGAGGAAGCATATAATTATAAGCTTTGATTTTGAGAGTTGAAAGGGGCCTTTGAGGCTACCTAGTAGGACTTCCTGTTCAGACAGAAACTTCTCTCCGTATCCCTGACAGTTTCAACTCAAGCCTATCTCCAGTCCTAATTTTGTTCCCCGGATCTGTTCAGGATATATGTAAGTCCTCCTCTCTCTACAGACCTCCAAGCATTTGAGAACAACTCTGGTGAACCTGTGAAACATCATGTCTCTGCTAACATCCCAAAATGTATTTAAGTCTTTCAAGGCATACGTGAACTTTAGAATAAGATTCATTATAACGCTGCTACCTTCCTCCAATGAACTCGAGTGATGGCCTCCGATGAACGACACCTCCTAGGGTTTGTTTCCTTGTGTAGCCCGTCCCATCCTCTGATCTCCATAGAATGGGCAGAAGTGACTGCGCCAGTTGTGGTCCTACGCTCCGGGAGGCCAGCCACCATGTGAGAAGTTAAGCGACTAAGCTGGAGAGGAAAGGCCCCAGGGAACGAGAAGCCCCATGGGGGAGAACCCAGAGGTCTGCTCTGCCGGTGCAAAAGCCCATTTTGGACGCTCCTGCCCTTGGGTCTCCAGAATACTCCAGCCCCAGCTGCCCACTGAGCAGAACCGCAAGAGATTCCAAGCAAAAACCGAGAGAACCACACCATCAAACCCAGTCAGCACAGTGAATCGTGAAAGAAAAAAGATGTTTAAGCCACTAAGTTTGAGTGGTTTGTTATATAGCCATAGATACCTGAATGAACCCACTCAAAAAATATTTCCAGAACCCAGATGGGTCTGTCTAATGCTAAGGATGAAAGGAATAGTGTCTGTTTGTTCTGATACCATTAACACTATCCTGGATTTATTTTACACTTGTAATCATATCATTGCATTAAATGTGTAGCAACTATAAAGCCCTACATTTGTCACAGGATGGCTTTGGGCTACCTCTCTTCAATGTCTTCTTAAAAGGTGTTATGGAGCTAAATAAAGGGATTTTATATTTTTTTCCTTGATAGTTTTCTGCTTGTCTATTGTGACTCATCATTCCAGCTTGATATTTTTAGAAGAAATTTTTTTGTTCTTTCATCTGATATAATAATTATCCCTTATGTCCTCTGAAATTTGGCAAACAGGCCACACAAATTTTATTCAAATCATTAATAAAACTGTTGAATAGCACCAGGCAAATTCAGAGCCCTTTGGTAAGGCAATGAAGATCTCCTAATGAGTAATTTGTTCACTGATTGAGCAATACTTTTAAGAAATGATCATTCCCGCTATGAGTCAGTCTAATCTGTTGTCCACCAAGTTGCTTTTCTGCTTTTGATTCACAATGATACTGCAGAGAGTATCTTGCCTTGCTGAAGTCAAGGGATATTTGGTTTCTAGTTTTTCCCTGAACTTTGTTGGTAAAACACTTCAATAAAGTGGTTTAGATTTAGTCTGATGTGACTTCCTATTAATCATCCCCTGTAGGCTCTTAATAAGCACCACTTTATTTCTTATACAATCATGAACAATTCGTTCTAGAATTTGAAGAGTATAGGTTTGGCAGTCAAACACACTTGGTTTGAAATCCTACCTATTTTTACTGTGAACTAAGGCAAGCTCCTCAGTTTCACAGAGCCTTTGTTTCCTTATCTGTAAAATGAGAAAAATGATACTCTACACGGGTTTGATGGGACAGTTAAAATGAGACATGTATGGAAAGCATTTTGCACCATGCTTAGCATGTAGCAACTCAATACATTTTGGGTTTAATTATTGTTACTGTTTTCTTATTGTGATGATAAGTTGTTACTCAATCTGTAGTTTCTTTTTATTTTTCCAAGAATTTGAATAACACATGCCTATCCCTGGACTTACGGCACTGTGTTGAAGAATATAGCAAAGTAAAAATAGCGCTTTCTGATCTGCCATCTGTTACAACATTAACCATCTGCCCAAAGCTGTGGAACTATTCCTTTTCTTTAGTCTTGTTTTTCTTGCTCACAAGATTGATTAAAATGTGCCCGCCACCCCCACCCCCAACTTGCACCTTTTCTGGCCCAGCATGCTCCACATGGTTCAGCTCATCTGGGGCTCCACCTGCTATCAGAGAGACCCACTGGGGCCACTCTTTGGTTTCTGCCAATTTTGCATAGCTCTGTCATCACCAGGAGTGGGGTGGGTCAGACTTAGAAGTTTTTTAGCTCTGCAAGGATGGGGTAGAGAACCAGTTAACATTAAGAAGTCATGGGACCTAGGGCTGGGAGCAGGGTTTGGAAAAGCAGGACAGCACCCTAGTCATGGGGGAACCAGGGCACCAGGAAGAGAAATGAAGTAGAATTATAGTAGCAAGGACATGGTGACCACATCACAGAACCAGGCAGAAGGCTAATGCAGTGAGAGGCAAATTCAGGGTTCCTTACAAGCCCCTCTAAAATTGGTGGTACCAGATCTTGGGTCTGAGTTGAATCTCTACAAAGTGTTTGGTAACCCCAGTAGTGGGATTACTGAGCGGCTCCAGCAGAGAGCCCAGGAAGGTCCGAAGGTGTTCTCCAAGAGAATTTCCAAGATTCCTGACACTTGCTCATCCCAACCAGCAATTCTAGATGTTCTGGAATTCAACCCTGGAGAGCCCTTCTCTCACTGATTTCTGAGTTTCTTGAGAGTTGGCCTCACCATAAGACCGGATGGAAACTTATCAGACGCCTTTCTTTCATCAGGATGGCAATATTTGACTACATCTGAATGGGATCCAGACCACTGGTAACTCTCTGAGTCCTCAAAATATCAACTGTAGGTTAAACAGATCTGATAAGAATGGAGAGAGGCAGTGACAGATTACACTTTGCAGGGCAGTCATTTTTAATCCACTTTAATGAACTGAGGGAATGGTACTGGTTATAATTCTCTGGCTGTCTGTAGCATCCAAATACCCTCGAGTGTCACTCAAAAGTCATCTAAGACTTTTGCTGTTTCTTAACTTTTCAAAACTAAAAATTATGAAAAAAATTTTCTTGAGATGGAAAAATAAACCCCACCTCAAAACCACTTCCTGGAGACAATCTGTGTTAAAATTTTAGAGTGTATTTGAGCTAGTTTCTCTTTGCTCTCCTCTCCTCCCCTCCTTCTTGCCTTCCTTCTCTTTCTCTCTTTAGACTTTCAAGGGCAGAGTTGAGTCATTTAGACTTCTCAGTCATGGCACCCTGTCTACATTTGTATGTCCTTGGCTTTGTTTCTATTTTATTTTATTATTTCCCTCCTCCATGCCAAGACTCTATTCTTAAAACTCTCTCCTACCACTGGTAGCCATTCTGAGATGCTATGTTCTTGCATCTGCATGTGTCATTGAAGAATATATATTTATGCATTCTCAATTTACATAAATGGTACTTGCTATAGGTCTTGTTCTGTTTGTTATTTTTTATTTTTTAACTCAACACTGTTTCTGTGATCTGTTTATAGTACAGGATATCAGTCTGGCTCATGGCTGTTAACTGCTGCTTGGTGTTTGATAGTATGTATCTACAATATTTCATTGATCTATTTCCATAGCAATGGGTTTTTAGATTATTTCTAACATCCTGCTATCAAAAACTACACAGTAAACATCTCCATGCACATGGCTAAGGATCTGACTATTAGAAGTATATAGACAGGAGTGAGTTGCTGAGTCATAGGGATACACCTATTTAGTATCACTAAGTGCTTGGAGATTATTCTTCAAATGGTCATAACATTCTTGCATGCCCTAAAATTCACTTCTTTAAGGTATATGATTCCATGGTTTTTAGATTATTCAGAGTTGTGCATCTAATTCCAGAACATTTTCAGCACCTCTAAAAAAAACCCTGATAATTTGGCAGTCCTTCCCCATTTCTTTTCTCCCAGACCCTCCCTGGCAAGCAGGGACTGAAAATATACTTTCTCACTATAGATTTGCCTATTCTGGACATTTCATGTAAATGGAATCATACTACACGTAGCCTTTTGTGTCTGGTTTCTCTCATTTAGCAAATTGTTTTCAGGGTTCATCCATGTTGTAACATGTATCAGCATGTCACTCCTTTTTAAGACTGAATAATATTCTACTGTATGGAGATCCCACATTTTATTTAGCCAATTATCTGCTGAAGGGCATTTGGGCTGCTTTTTGGCTATTATAAATGATGCTTTTGTGACAATTCACGTACAAGCTTTCGTGTGGACATATATTTTCAATTCTCTTGCACATAAACCTAGGAGTGGAATTGCTGGATCATGGAGTAACTGGCTTAATTATTGTGGACTGTTTTCAAAAGCAACTGCATTGTGTTATAATTCAATGAACAGTATATGAAAGTTCCAATTTCTGCACATTTTTTATTATAGTTATCCAAGTACATGGGAAATAGTGTTTCATTGTGGCTTTGGTTTATATCTCCTAATGACTAATTATTTTGAGCATCTTTCTATGTGCTTATTGGCCATTAATATATCTTCTTTGGAGAAATGTCTATTCAAATCATTTGCCTATTTTTATTTATATTTTTATTTATTCATTTTTAAATTTTTTCTTTGTTTTTTTTTCTTTGCCTATTTTTAAACTAGGTTTTTTTCCTTTTATTATTGAATTGCAATACTTCTTTATATATATTATGGATACAAGTTCCTTATCAGATATATGATTTACAAGTATTTTTCACCTATTCTTCAGATTGCTTTTTCTGGAGTTGTATGAGTTCTTTATTTTGGGGGGGCATCAGTCCCTTATCAGATACATAATTTGCAAATATTTCTCCCACTCAGTAGGTTGCCTTTTCATTTTGTTGGTGGCTTCTTTGCTGTGCAGGAACTTTTTAGTATGCCGTAGTCCCCCATGTAGAGCAAAGCAAAACTAGCTCAAATACACTCTAAAATTTTAACAGAGATTGTTTCTTTTTGTTCTCATTGCTTTTGCTTTTGGCGTCAGGTTAAAAAAATCATTGCCGAGACATGTCAAGGAGCTTACCAGCTATGTTTGTTCCTAGAAGCTTTATGGTTCCAAATCTTATAGTTAAGTCTTTAACCCACCTTGAATTAACCTTTTTGTATGGTATAAAATAGTGGAGTTTCATTCTTTTGCATGTAACTGTCCAGTTTTCACAACACTCCTTATTGAAGAGACTGTTGAGACTGTCCTTTCCCCACTGTATATTCTTGGTTCCTTTGTCATAAGTTACTTGACCATATATGAATGGATTTATTTCTGGGTTTTATATTATGTTCCATTGATATATGTATGTATATATTTTTATGCCAATATCACACTGTTTTAGTTACTATAGTTTTGTAATATAGTTTGAAGCCAGGGAGTGTGATGCTTCCAGCTTTTTTCTTTCAAAAGATTGCTCTGACTATTCAGGATTTATTTGTGGTTCCATATAAATTTTAGGATTATTTTTTCTATTTCTTTGAAAAATACCATTGGAATTTTGATAAGGATTGCACTGAATCTGTAAACTGCTTTGGGCAGTATGGGCATTTTAACAATATTGATTCTTGTAATCCATGAGCATGGAATATCTTCCCATTTATTTGTGTCTTCTTCATTTTCTTTCATTAAAGTCTTATAGTTTTCAATATACAGGTCTTTCACCACCTTGGTTAAATTTATTCCTAGGTCAAGGTCTATACCTAGCTCTACACCTGTGACTATATATACCAGTGGCTAACTAGGTTATATAGTTTCCTTATGACGGCTAGGAGGCATCAACAATCGTATGAAAAAAATGTATAATCTAGCTTGCTACCAGTACAGTTATGAAACACACATTTTTTTGTGTGTGAGAGGGAAAAGGCCCACAGAGGCAAAAGGGCCTAATGCTCATAGAAGAGATATCTCTTGGAGGGGATAGGATCAAACTGTGCCTGGGCGGCATCTCCACCCCAACACAGTTCCATGGATTATCTCAGCTAATTTAGTTCATGTATTCATGTTCATGCTCAGTATATATGGGGACCATTCTTTCATTGATCCAGAAGAGCTTCTTTTGGGTAAAAGCTACTCCATTTCCAGCAGCAAGAAAGGTTTAGGCTTGGTGGATCATTCTATCTATTGTCGCTCTATCATCAACTGTCTATTTCTTTTTATAGAGACTTAGAGAATCAACACAGTAAGCCTGACCAGGACTACTGCTGCTTTTCTCTGCGTGCTGTGAATAGTAAACTTGTTATCTCAGAGAACTTAAATTCCCACTTTGAGAACTGATGCACATCTCTTTGTGGATGATGATTGGTGCGCTAGTAATTCTGTTGCACCTATCTAATTCATTTATTAAGAAGTCTTTGTGAAAAATTACCTGACATTGAACTAACATGGCCTTTGGTAGGCTCTACCTCTGAAACTTTTATAAAAATGTTTGTTTCAAGTCCTTTGTCTCAAGTCCTTTTTCAATGGTTTTTAAACTATGTTCTGAAGATCCCCTAACACGCACACACCCAGGGTTCCTCTTCAGAGACCTCTCAGTGGCTGACTGGGGAGGGGGGTAAAAGAAGGTATCACAGGCAGGATGAAATTCCTGTTCCCTTACCTCACCTTCTTTCTGTTTATAGCATCTCTGGTTTACTGTGAGTACCAAATGAGATTTTATTTGAACAATAAGTCCTGAGGCTAAATAAAACCTGTAAACCATTCTCTACAACTGAAAACTGTAATTCTTTTTTCAGGATATTTGTGAGCACATACCTTTAAAAAAAAAAACAAGTATGTGCGTGTGTGTGTAAGCAATTTAAGGGAAAGAATGATTTACATCTTAAGGACTGGATTTTTAAGTACGACCATTTTACTCTGCTTATCCTGTTCAACAGCTGAATATTGACTCTGGCTGCTACAACCTTTGACATGCTCTGAGATCTCAACTGCTTAGAAAATCATAGAGAAACTCCCATTTTTTTGACATTAAAATAAACGCTTCTATTAAGTTTTGTGATGACAAGGAAGAGAGGAGGGGGGAATGTTGTAATTTTAGCTCCTAAAGGATCTATTTTTAAAGTAGGTTATTTGGTTTATCGAATTGACTTCTGATACAGACCATTTAACCTCACAGATACTCTCTTGGATAAATACTGGCCACTGGCAAACCCACTTGCAAACTGAGGGAGGAGGAAGATTTGATTTGTGTGTGAGCATTTGGAACCAGAGGACTTTTTTCCATTTTAAAAAACCTTCCTGGAGTTGATTCCCACATACATACATTTCCTTTTCATAATACTAGTCATTAGTCACCAAGCAGTTGAATGAGCACCTGCATGGATCATGGATTCCACAGTCCAACCTTAAAACTCAAATTTTGGGTTGCCTCTTCCTCTAATAATTATAATCCACCCTCAGGGGCTATTCCTGACTTGTTTGGTGTCCCTCTTCTTGCAGAACTTGAAATAGGGCACAGGGTTGCTACATCTTCTATACCTCTCCTCACCTTTTCTCGAATCCACGGTCTTTCAAGCTCTACACTATTGACATTTTCAGCTGAGTAATTCTTTATTATGAGGAGGCAGCTGCCCATAGTAGGATGTTTAGCAGCATCCCTGACTCCTCCCCAGAAGATGTCAGTAACACTCTCCTGTCCTCCCCTCCCCCAGTGGTGATGACTAAAAATGTCTCCAAACAGTGCCAAATGTCCCCCTTGCAGGAGTGGTGGGTAGAAGTGGGAAGGAAGCACTATGGAGAACCACTGTTTGTGAATCTATAGGATCTGAAGACTGAGAATTATACCAGGAATTACCTGGCCACCACTAGACATGGTTCTCAAATAAACCTTAGACCCGTGTAATTTAACCAGGTCGATGTTCTCACCCCTGGCTGCCCATTAGAATTACTGAGATATTTACAGATGACCAACTGGGCACTGGTAGTTTTTAAAAGCTCCCCAGGAGATCTCAATTTATAGACAAGATAGACAACCTCTGAAATACATATATTTAACAGTCTTACTACTTATAAAAACTCAAAAAAACCCACCTATTTTATTTTAAGTAGGAAATATACAGGTAGTTTCAGGGCAAGAAAACATTTCCATGTTGGTAGATTATGGAACATAGGACACTGGAGACATTTCACATTTGCTTTTTGTTCTGTCACCTTGCAAAGCAGTTGGGACACTGGACACATCTGAGGATGCTGGGTTTTGTAACAGGCTGACTGAAGGTTCCCTGCTTGATATATAGAACAATGTATCTGATGCTTGTAACTTACAGAGACTTTTGACCACAGTGACATCCGTTACAGAACTTCACAGGGATGAGTCCTCCCACGAGGAAATTCCCGGAATAACATTTGTAATTGGCAGGGAAGGAAGATCAAGACTCAGTGAGACCAAGGGTGGGCCAGGAAGGGAGGCTTCCCGATCATGTTTCTCAGTGCATGAAAAATCACTGAATTGCCACATTTTTTGTTTGTTAGTGTTTCAGTAACCATGGGAATAAAACCAGACAATGAAGGACTTTATATCTAAGGATCCTAGAGAAATAGGTCTGGAAGGTGTACGTGTTCTGGTAGCTGCTAATCCCATGTAATCTGGCCAGCCAGGAAGGGCTGGTTAGGATTCTCCTGATCTTCTGACAGGTGTCAGCTACATTAGATTCAGCTTGCCACAGGGCCTTTGACAACTGGCTTATCTTCTCTAAAATTTGATTCCCTATCTGAAAAACGGGCAGCATGGCATTTATGTCAGTCAGTATCAGGATTAAATTAGCTAACCTGTGCAAAGGTGTTTTGTGAATTGTTGAGCCTAATAAGGTGACATTATCTTTACAGGGGCCTTCTATCCTGAAGACTCTACTAGACCAGGACCCAACAGCTTTCAGTTTTGGCTTCTAGGAAATATGCAGAAAAATGGATAAGTATAAACATTGACTTAACTCCTCAAATGTCTGTCCTCAAGCAGGCAGTTAGGAAAATACACTTGAGTTAAAAATACAGAGTTATGTATTTTTCATGACCAAGGTTACAAATGTATTTCAGGTTATTATATACTAAAAGCCAGGGAGTTCTTTTGTGCCCTCTATAATGCAAAGAGCAAGGGATTAATCTGATGCATGCTTTCCATTTAAAAAAATCCATTTGGTTTTCCAAAGGTATCTTGTCTCCTGAGGTTCCTGAATGCCACAGCATCCTTTCTTTCCCTGTGCGGTCCAGCTGTGTTCTACTGCTTCCTACATCCCTAGGTTGAGAGAGTGTCAGTATTTATTACAAATACAGTGGTACCACATAACTAGAGTGTGAACCCATTGGCTCCCTAATTTATGGACATATTAACTGAAATCTCTGTTTTGTCTTTCAATTTAGTTGTGGTTGATACTCAGAATGTAACCTTTGTGGATATCAAAAACAAGGCTTTGGGGATACTATTTTATACAGGTAAACTGAGACTATCCAAATAAGTCCATGGTCAAGGTTCCCGGTGATGAATGCTCACCCTGTAATAAGGATTCCCATCTAAGGATGAAATAAACAGGCAGAGAAGGCTATTTCAGGGGACAGTTGGTGCTGTCTGGGGGAAATTGGTAGAAAAGAGTGTTTGCAAACCTTCACTCAGATGCTTTTACAATTAGGTGTCCCACATGGCTAGCAGAGAAAACTGGGTGGATTCCACTGTAGTTGTGAAAACACAGACATCTGGTTTCCGTCTTTGCTGAGAACACCGGCTCAACCAATAGCAAACCCGGAACTGAGCACACGACTACATTATCACTTTAAGTTCATATTTCTCTGGTTTGTCCTCAGATTCTTCGGCCTCGAAGTCAGGGTCAGGGCTTGGGTGGTGGATTTCGATGACGAAAACATAGATGAGGCCTCCCAAGAAGGCACCAACCATAGGACCGACTACAGGAATCCACCAGAAGTGATTTCCAGCTCTGAAACCAAACAAGAGATTAGCGCTACACCGCTAGGCCTCCTCCTGGTAGTATGTCTAGCTCTTCACTAACCAGCTAGTCTGTCTCATCTTGTGGCTCCCTTTTAACTCAGCAAGAGCTAAGTATAGGGCACTCAGTGTGACTTGGTGGCTATCCCCCTAGATTTTCCAGAATTCTGGATTTCAGATCATCTATTCCATTGTTGTATTAGTACATGTAGGAGAATTTGTCCTATTTATTTTCCTTTCAGAAAATATAGACCCTGAACCCATTGTTAAACTGAGGGAAAGTTCAGCTAGATTATTTAGGAATTATTTTTCCTTCACACTCAAATAATGAGTCCTGGGGATTATCGCTGGAAAGGAGTTGTGGGAGATTCCTGAATATCATGGGTTTGTGAGGGCAATCACAACATAAACCATCAGGAAATTGTCAATGAATGGATGAATTTTTAAAACAACAAAGGTGGATATATGAATTGCCTATTAAGTATAATTAAAGTCAATGCTTATTTTTTCAGGTCACAGCTTAAAGTTTACTCTCTGATAAGGTTTTTGTGCCATGATTCACTGTCCCTTCCAGAAATCCTCAATGTTAGTACGTTACACTAAATGTATAGTTCTGGGAGGAAGCAGGTGTCTTTGTGAATTGACACCTTCTTTTCTGGAGACAGGAAATAGATTTAAATAACTCTGTAGAGAGGAACAGTATGCTCGGAGGAAAGCAAAACTATTAAATATATTGTTTAAGGAAATATTCTTTTCAGATAAAACTTTTTAAAAGCAGGGGAATGATAAATGCAAAAAGTTGGGATAATGCAGAGGAGGCAGAGGAAACTGGAGGGGCACAGAGATACGTAAAAGGATGTCACAGTGTTCTAGTCGGGGGAAGGATTCATGGCTGCTTTTTTTTATCTTTATGCTTAATAACTATTCATTGTTCCACGTGGCCTTTGACTCAAATTTTGATTCGAAAAGATAATAAAGAAATTAAGGAGACAAGAGCCCTACCCTTGAGCTTGTGCCTGGGTCATCCTGGAGTGCTCAGAAGTCTTAGATCAGGGGAAGAGCACGGAGACTGAGCACAGCAGCCACCAGATGTCACTCTCACTGCACAGGAGAGAGGAGGCCGCACTGCTGTTCCAGCGCCCTTTCCCAAGCCCAACTCCAGGTGGATGTTACTACGCCTGGGCTTTAAAGAAGGAGGAGCCTTCTCTTTGGGTAAGCACATGAACAAAGTAGAAGCCACCTTATGTGGGCCATGATTTCCTTCCTTCTTCACTATTTTGTGGCAAATCTCTGCCGTTCAACAAGTTTAGGGTACAAGAGATCTGCCCAGACACATGCCCTCCTTCTTCTGACTGGACTCTGCCTTTTATGGTGGCTGAGCGTGTTGTGCCAGGGTCACAGGTCATAGATGGACAGCTCAGATGTGGTTTCCTGCCTGGCCCAACCTTACACATATACAGTGTCATTTTCATGCTATGATTTTCCGGATGTCAGGAAACTGTGTTAATTGATTAAGGTACCATTATCAGAGATTCATTACTTTGGGTAAACAATTTAAAAAATTAACAATACCCCTGAGATCCTTCATCCATTAAATCATTAATCCCTTACTGTGAATTAGGCTAGAGAATCTGGATGGGAAACATTCTCATATTTAAGGGAAAAGCAAGAGTAATCCAGGGTCTGATGACTCTTGTCCTTGTCAGACTCTCTGGTGTTCCACTCGCCTGGTCATCTGCTTACCCTTCAGGGGCAAGTGAGGATCTAAGAATGAATCAGTCTTGATTTTACCTGAGATCTTGGGTGTAGAGTCAAGCCAGGATATCCACTTCAGATGCTTACTTTTGACAAAGAACCCTAAAAGGATGGGACACTCCAGGGATCGTTTGGTTTAAGGAATGCCCTTACTATCCCTTCAAGGTTTTCTTGGGGACTTTTTGGTTGAGGATTACTGGCCAGCCCAATTCTACCTGGTTTAGAGCCATCATGACTGTTAGAGCTTCTGGCGAGTCACGAAGCAGCCTCAAAGGGAGGCCAGGTCACCTCGGGGCATCTTTGTTCGACACGTCGGGGTGTCGGTGTGATGCTAACAGAGGTGACGTGTGGGTGGGGATCGTGGTCTCCTAGAGTGAGGCTCAGGAAGGTGGGATTAAAGGAAACTCACAGGCTGATTCTGGGATCTGGGGATAAGGAAATGTTTCAGTCCTGTTTCTGACTCTCCATTGGAAGAGCACGAAGGGTCCTTCCCAGCTGGGGACACTTGGTTCCACCTTTTCATGTCCTAGTGGTGATCATTCTGGAACAGAGCTCCTCAACCGTGGCACTCTTAACAGTTTTTGGCTGAATAATGCCTTGTTGTGGAGATCTGTCCTGGGTATTGTATGGTGCTTACCAGTACCCTTGGCCTTGACCCACTAGATGCCAGTACCAACTTCCATCCCCATCCTCCCCAGCTGTGACAACCCAAAATGTCTCCAGACATTGCTAAATGTCCCTGGGGGCAAAATCACCCCTAGTTGAGAACCACTGCTCTAGAAAATTGTATCGTTAGTTTCTTAAACATAGAGAATGTTTCATGATTCTCTCTGAAGCCCTCATCTCCTAGACATACTGGCATGTAGCATTTATCCATTCTTTTATTCAGTAACTTTTGTTCAGACATTCTGTGCACCAGGCCCTATTCTAGTCCCCTTGGACACAGCAGTGAAAAGCTGTCAAGGTCCCCTGTTATGACGGTTACACTCCAAAGGCTCTCAGCCCTGCCTGTGGTGGTGATTTGAATGGTGCCAGTTATTTTAACTGCTTATTTTTCACACTGGTCAAGGCAACCCAAACTCTTGCTTAAACAGTCATCACATGCATATGACTACATGTGCAGGTCAGCATCTAGGGACACTCAAGGATTTTTTTCTCACAGCACACATTCAGCTAAAATGTGCTCACATGTGTTTTTTTCTATTTCTGTTTCCATGTTAGAGCCCTGCTTCCTGATGAACCAAAGTGAGTTCCTTTCCCACAAAGAAGTAAGTGGATGGTACAGACTACTAAAGCTGCATGAGGAGAAAGTGGGAAGGAGTAAATGGGCAAAGTTTGTCCTGAGATTGGTACCAACAGTTGGCATATTTCCTCAGCATATTCTGAGGCAGAGAGCATGGGTCTTGCCATTTCCTGTGTACAGGCTCTTAATGTCTGCTCTGCCAGGAATTTCTTACTCATACGTCAAGATGCCACTCAGCTCTCATTTCTTCAGCCACGCCTCTGCCAACTTCCTCAGGCAGTTAGTCACCCCTACCCCCACTTGGGTTACCTCAGCACCTAGTTTTAGGGCTTAAGCACACTCATTGCTCAAGGCTAGTGTCTTAGCTGATTTTGTAATGTTCTTACCTAACATGGTGAACACAACATAGACAGTGTTCAGTGAAGGTCTGTTGTATGAAGGAATGAATGAAGCATAGCATATGGTTCACTAGAAAGAGCCCCGCAGTAGTGCTAGAGGTATTAATTCTAGTCCTGTCTTTGTCACAAAGTGAACCTGTAGACAGTCATACAACCAAAATATTCATATAAAACCACATCCCAACTGAGGAATTATCATCACTAGATAGAACAGGCCTATCTCTTTTCAATTTACCTGGAGCCTCTGTTTTTTGTCTCTCTGTGTTTCTTCCACCCTCTCATTCTCTCTCTCACACACACACCTTGTATCACGGATCACCACTGAAATGCTTCACACTTGTGACCAGAGCATGCACGAGCCCCCCAGCCCCCACTGGGACTCTCCTGACCAAAGTGGAAGCACAGTGCTCCCCGGTAAGCCGCAGGGTGGCCTCTCTGCCTCACCACCCTCCACCACGCTACTTACGTGAAGACCTCAAAGCCCCATCCTGCCAAAGCAGTGAAAACTCTGGGACTCAGGTCTCGCGCTGGGTTCATGGCGCAGCCGCTATTCAGCCCCAGGGAGGATGCGATGGCGATGATCAGGAGGCCGACGACGACTGGCTCTAGGCCTCTGGGGACCCCCAAGTTTCTGGAGTCAAAAATGGCAAAGACGACCATGATGAGGAACATGGAGGCCACTACCTGAGCAGGGAGAGAAGGCACAGGCGTTAGCTGGTGTCTTGCCCACTTGCCCACCTCAAAATTCACCCCCTCTCATTCAAAACAAGCCAGTAATAACTAACACGCACTGGGTGAGCACGCCGTGCCAGGCTCTTCTGACTGCAGCCAGCCTAGATGGGGACACTAACACCACCCCCATCCACAGGCGGGCTCAGTGGCGGGCAGGTGTGGACCCAGGGAATCTGGCTGTAGAGATTCTGCCTTTACCACCCTCACCCACTAGCCGCTACCCAGCTCAACAGAAGGGCAAGGTGCAGACAGGGAAGATGGAAGAAGGGGTCATTCGAGCTGGCAAGAGATAAGGTGAGGCACTGATACATACACAGGTGAAGGAGATGAGCAGGAATTTCATAAGGGAAAAACAGAATCATGAAACACTTAAGTGGGAAAAGCTGATTTGTAATGAAAAAAATGCAAACAATGCCAAATGTTAAGGAATCCATTCCAGTTCTCTCAGGCTTTTCTAGTAGAACTAAACACATACCACTGTCAAAAGGAAATTCAGCAGTAATTTAGTAATAGGCATTTAAAAAACCCATAAAATTATTTTTTCCATTTGACCCAATTGGATATTTTAGAACCACACCATGGGAGTAATCTAAAATATGGAAAAAAATCACAAAACAAGTGTGCTCACTTAAAAGTTATTTATGCTATTGAAAAACTGGAAGTCACCTATGCACACATCAATAGGGAAGGGCTATAGTCCGTGGTATAGTCCACTAGAGAGCCATTAAAAACAATGAATATAAAAGCTACATGGTAACATTTAAGAATGTTTATGATATTAATTTAAAAAATTGTAAGTGCATTATATTTCACACTTAGAAACACACATAAGAGAAAAATCGTAAGAGAATATACGAACAGTAATAACAGGGATTCTGAAATGGTGGGTCATGGCTGGTATTTTCTCCACTGTTGATTTTCTAAACTTTTTAAACTGTTATTTTACTTTCACAGCTAAACAATAGCTACTATTTACTGAACACTTAACACATGCCACGTACTTCATTTTCTAGAACCCCCCCTCAAAGAATAAGGAATGCAGGACCTTCAGGGATTGCTAATGGTTGGAGCACAAGGGTTTTCTAATATCCATTCCCTTGACTTAGCTATATGTTTGCTAAAACCGTGGTCCTTAGAGAACCTGGTGACTCACTCTCTCTCAGATACGTGGATAAACCTCAGGCAAGGCCTGGCTAACCCTCAGTGGACTCCACTCCCCAGGAGCCGTGCAATTTCTTTGTCACCAAGACACTTGGTGAAATGTCTTGGAGAGAGGAATTGGAAGAACATGTAAAATTCTACGAGATTTCATTAGAAGAACAAAGTTGAGTGGAAGAGAGAAATGGGGGAAGAGAGGGAAGGAGAAGGCTGGCCGAGGGTAGAAAAAGGACTGCTTGTTGATTGCCCTCAATGTGTCAGGAATTTCATTGTCATGGTCTATTAGTCAGGTATCACTGATGGCGTTGATCAGAAGTCTAAACTGAGGCTTCAGAAGGTCCTGAGTAACTCATGCAAGGGCAAATGCATAGGGAGGGGCAGGGCTGGCACGTGTCTCCTGGGGCACTGCGGAATCTCGAGGGAGGCTTGTGTCATTCTCCTGCCTTGGAGTGGCCCTGAGTCAGGGGTGTCCTGGGCCCAGCTAACTGTGGAGAAGAAGGGAGGAGGTGAGCATCGCTGTAGGACTCAGTGGAGAGGGGCTGCCTCAGGGTAGGAGGGTTAGTATTCAGCCTGGGGCTTTCCTCTGTACCTCACATTCTCAGAACAGCCAGAGTACAGGGAGGTAGCTGTGGGTCCAAATCACAAGGAACAAAGAAAAGCCAAGGTGTGAGAAAGAAAGTGAGCGTTCTTTCTCTCCTACGTTCAATGCAAAGGGCCTGTATTCACATGAGAAATTTCTAGAGGCCCTTGACAGCTCTTGACTCTGGTCTCATCTTCATTATAAGATAAATTAGGCTTGAATTATGGAAAATAGGATCCCTGAGAAGCCCTGTCTGTCTTACTCATTCCCTTAGTCCAAGCTGAGCCATCCCCTGGGGCCCTCCTTCCTCAGCAAATACGCAGCTAATTGCTCCAGTCAACCTGTGCATTTAGGCCTACCAGTCCCCACCCTCCCTGACCTTCCTGACCTGCCTAGGTGAACAGGCTCCTGGCACTCTGAACCTGGAAACAATCACCTGGTCAAGCTCTTTCTAAACAGAGACTAGTGCCCAGAAAGGTAAGGAATCCCTACCTTCGGCAATCTCTTCCCCCTCCATCCCTCCTTCCTTCTTCACATCTTTTTCTGTGTTTCTGTCCCAAGTTTATGAAACAACAACCCTTCTGTCCCCTTCCTTCAGATGGCACCAGTTTCCCCTAGTTCCCAACTGGTTAACCTAGCCCCCAAGCTAGGAAGGATTTTAAAGATGACATACCCCACACTCTCCACCCTCTGGTGTTTGAATCTGCTGGAGAATATCCCCATCTCCACTTTGCAGCCCCCGAGGTTACCCAGGCAAGTCTCCACCACCTCTAGTCACTGTTGTCCTGGGGCAACACGGTCTAGTCCAGCATTAATTGCTAGAAAAAAGTCTTTTATTGAATGTAACTTTCTTCTCATAATTTCATTCTTTCATGGACTAAATATTTTATAATTAGTATATAATATTATATAAATAATATATTTAATTTGTTAGTAAATATTTATTGAGCACCTATTTTATACCAGGCATTGTACTTCCACCAAATCTTCACCATGGGGGGGGATTATAAACCCTAACTCTAATCTCTTTTGCTGTTGACAGTCCTTCAAATTGTTGAAAGCTATCATCAGTCCCCACCACCTACCGACGCACACACCTTCTCTAGACCAAACGACCCCATTCTCCACTCATTGCTATGTGATATCCTCACCTTTTTGCTTCTTCTGCTTTGGAAGCATGGCTCCTTGAAGTGCGGCATTTGGAAATGAGTCTAACACTCCTGGTATAGAGTAAGACCCTCAACTACTGCATTTGAATACTGTGCTTCTATTAAAGCAGCTTATGACAATATTCCTTTTTCTGACATTAACATATCTCTGTATTATTTCCACTAAATTTATCCTATCATTCTAACTCATCTACACTTTCTGTGCCAAATTACTAATGTGACTAATTTCCTATCGAATTATAACCATTTTTGCATCATTCCTTTTGTTCTTACGTGATTATTTTGTTCTTCATCTGGATTCTGGATTCCTGGGCAGAGACTGTTTACAATGTATTTTCCTCATATTATTCACTCTATCTTATAAATAAGCTGGTAGGTGCTAATATTATCCCCATCTTACAAATGAAAACCCTGATACCAAAAAGTTCAATAATATGCTGAGGTTACACAGGGAGTTGGATTGGACTGTAGCTGAGCAGAACTGGTATTTATTTATTTATTTTTTGGGCGATGTCGGGCTTAGAGTAAGTGACTTCATTTGGGGCTTGCTGTCTTATTAATAATAACTACCATCCCCAAATTTAATGTTTTAAAATTGTAATATTTACTGTGCTCACAGATCCTGTGAGTGGCAGAACTGTTATTTTAATTCAGGTACCTAGATGTTTACAGCTCGTGTTTACTTGTCAGGCCCTCACATCCAGACACAGGGCTGAGTACTTACTGAATGCCCAATAAAAACTTGTTCTCTGTCTGGTTTACTGATTAAAGTAGAAAGGAAAAAAGCGAGGACATGAGGACATAGTTTTTTTATCCACCCACTGAATGCAGGTGGGCAGAGTTGGCAAACTGGAAGAGCCCTTTTATACACACGCCCACTCTAACCTGTTCCCTTGTATAAGTCCTGATCACAAGAGAAGAATTTAGAGCTGCTGAAGAAATATCCTTCCGTCCTTATTCCCTTCCTTCCTTCCTTCCGCTGCACTGACCATGCGGTACAGCAGCCTTCCTGAGATGCATTAAGGAAGGGAAAATCTATTAAATTGACAATGTTGTTCCTATTACAAACTGACCGGAGTAGTTATGCTTATTGGCTACACCACAGATGCCTGGACGCAGCTCATTAAGTGTCAATAGGATAGAGACACTTTCAGCTACCTTGAGAGTTTTGATGGAGAGACATGGGGAGACAGGGATCTGTGATACTCTAGGCTCAACTGCCATACTTCACAGTCCTTGAATTGAGATCAAATGTCTCTTCTTATGGACTCCACATTTAGATTATGAGCATAAATGAGACAGTAATAATGAAGCAAACCCCATTTGCCCCTACTGAGTGTTGAAATATCCAGTCATCTATTTTTTGTCTGTACCTCAACTGATGTAAAAACAAGTGTATGTATTAAAAAGGAAGCAGAAAACTCTCTTAATGGTATCAACTTTGGTAAAGGCAAAAATCTGTCAAGAAAGCTTGGGTTATGCCCAGTGACCTCTGCCTTAGGAAATACAGCCTTTCCTTACCTATCATGCTCCTATGCATTCGCCTTATTAGATCTTGTCACCAAAGTTGGGTCTTTGTTGAAAGCACACTTACCTGGTCTGCAAATGCATTCACCAAAGACAGATATGGAGCTGGGTATGTTGCAAAAATTAATGCTGTAGCATTTTCTCCCACGATGAGCAGTTTTCCATCAGCGAAGGTCATAAGTCCATCTACGGAAGACAGAACTCTGTTACACTGGTGTTCTCTGGGCAGGGGTGAGGGAGTCTGCGCCGGGTCTTGTGCCAAACACTGCAGTTAAACAATCAGGCTTAGCTTGGCAGATATATGTCATTTGCCTCTCTTCATTTCATAATAGGGTAGTTTTAGAGATGCTCAGAGAAATTCCAGGTCAAAGTTAGAAACCTTCAATGGTTCATTCCAAACTTGAGTCAATCCTTAGCTAGTAGATCCTGGGAACCAATCTTTTGGTAAATTCTTGGAATTTTTGAGACTGATCAAAAGCCAAAGTAGAGGTTGGACCTACTCTAGGCAGAATTCATAATTCCTGGAGGGATTTCAATAACCACTAATACCAGTCCAGAATTTGAGGTTATCATGGTACGGTGAAGATATCCTTAAAGCAAGATATGGAACAGTCCCGAGACAGCCAGAGCCAATACGGCAGCAGCTCTGTGAGTTTCTGATCCGGTCTTGAATTCGCCTTTAGTCCTCTTAGACTCTAATTCTCAGAAAGACCCTCTTTGGGAAGAGGGCACTTTCCACAATGTATTTCTGTAAGGCATGGCTCATAAATTCTAGTTTCTAAGGGCTCTACCTTGAGAGTCATAATGTTTTAATATTTGCCTTGGGTTAGACAGAAGAAACTACTTTAATAGTTGATTTCATGGGAGCTAAAGATGTCTTAGTTTGAAGGGCCTTGGAAGTCATCTAGTTTAAGTCCCTCCTTTTCCAGAGGAGGAAGCTGGAACCAACAAGGTCAGATGACTTATTCTAAGTCACACAGCTACTTACTGATACAGCACAAAACTAAAGCCTACGTCTTATATCGTCAGTACTGTATTTTGCCACCAGTATTGTTGCAAAACAGAAGCTCTGGCTGTTGGATAGAAGGGGGAAGAGGTTCCCCACCCAGCCCATTTCTCTGCTGTGCTCCTTCCTTCAAAGACGTTGCTCCAGATTACTTTTCTAAATACTTACTCATCATTTCCTTTGCTACCAGTCAACACCTCCTATTCCAGCCAAATCAGACAAAGCTGTGGGGAAGCCACTGGCCTACTGCTAATTTTGTGCATGTTTGTACTGTAGTGCTAGTTGGGACAATGGATAAATAGACTTCCTTTAAGTTCTGCCTCCCCCACTTTCACTAAGAGACTTCATGAATTGGCCCTAATGATAATGTTGGCCTCGTTATTTAGAACTGAGAACTCTTAGAACTATCTGTCAATTGAAGAATGCTTCCTGTTCTTGCCATACCTCACCTCTTCCCACCAAATAATTCTGACTTTCATATCATGCCCCGCTCTCCCTTACCTTTGGACTCAGGGGCCCTACTCACCATAGTAAATGCCAAAGAGGGTTGCAGCCCCTACGAAGGCTCCCAAGAACTGGGCTCCCACGTAAAATGGAAATTTGAACCATTTCATCCGTCCAAAGAGACACATTGCGAAAGACACAGCTGGGTTGATGTGACCGCCTGCAAGGAAGATGAGATGATTATGAATATCAGAGGGCAGGCCAGAGACAATTGTTACAAGGAAAACCTTTAGAGAAGTTGGGAAAAACTTAGTCTTCTAGGTAGAGAATATTTGTGAGAGGAGACAGAGGCTTGTGTGTATGTGTGTGTGTGTTTATAAGGAGGAAGGAAGGGCTGATAATTATCATGGCATCATTAGACACCATTTAAGAAGTTTAGCTTCCTGAAAAGGGGATCAGATAGAAAGAAACTTGTCTTCAAATGGCTTATTTTCTATTTACCTATTTCCTATCATCTATCATCTGTCTACAGGTTTTACCTATCTATAAAACAATAACCACAAAGAGATTAATGTAAACTCTTCATTTCAATATTTTTAAGTCTATGTACTTATACAATATAGTTACAAGGTTTAAATCTATATCTAGCAATTCTTCAGGTCATGTCCAGAGTATATAAAAACAAACTTTGGACTGAAAAGAGATGTCTCTTTGAGGGGAAATGACCCTTGGCTGGTGGGCTGTGCCTCTCACTGAGGTATTAAGGGGCACAGTTTATTTTGAGGTCATTGCAATCTTAGAGTGTATCCTTCTCAGTTCTTCTGTATAAACAATGTATTTCTTGACACACAGAAATGTAGTAACACTTCCGTCACCGCAACCTGAACTATGGCAAAAGAAATCATCTTCCTTGATTCTCATGCAGCCACAAGATCAGAGAGAGGGTTTGCTCTGTAGTCAGTCACTGATACCCCCAGCTGGACTTGCTAGTAACAATATTAATCGGACACTTGCCAAAACCAGTACTATAGGGGGTATTGCCTGCATTTGATCCCTGCAAGAACCCAGCAGGATGGATACTACTCCAATTAACTGGTAAGGAAACCAGGGGCATGAAAGTAAAGTAACTTTCTTAAGCCCCATGGTTAGTAAGTGGTAGAATTAGGATTCAAATCCAGGTTTATCTGAACTCTAGAGTATATGTCCTATATTATAACACTTCTAGATCTTCTTCCCCATGTTTATAAAACCTTCCCTGCCTTTGTGTGCAGAAAAGAAAAAGAACTTCAAAAATATATAGCAGAGGTCTTTATTCAGGTAGCTCAGACTACAAAGATTTATAGAGAGGGAAAGTTGCTCGGGAGTTGCTTGGGATTGTCTGGGATGGTGCTTTGCAAAGCAATGAGGAAATTTTCTCCCTGCAGAGATGAGTGGCACCCCTGGCTCCCCCTGAGGATAAGGCAGGGCAGTGTAGTGGAAAGAACATGAGTCCCTGAGTTAGAGAGTGCTGCACTCAAACCTTGGCTCTGCCTAGGGTGTTGTGGTGATCAGATTACTCATATAAGGAGTACAGGAGTGCGGCAGGGGCCCACAGGCCAGAGATGAAAGTCTTAAGTGAGCAGGCTGAACCCTTTCAAGGTTCTGGTCCAGACAAGTCCCCTCCTCCCTACCACCCACAGACTCTTCTGTGATAGAGATAAGCCTAATATTTTATTTGCTGTTGAGCAAACAATTTTTCCTCTTCAATGAATTTATATTACTTATAAAATGCTACATGAAAAACAACCACCACAGTCTAGGTACAAGCAGGCAGCATCAACACTTTTTTGGGGCAGCTGCCTAATTAGGATGCTGGGAGCTCTGATGGGCAGACCACTGGCATGTTCACAAGGGAGCAAGGTGTGGTGACTTCTTTACAGTAAAATGATATTTTATATTTCAAAAGCAGATGTGAACTGACCTTACCAGTCTGTGACCACAAAATGGGTCTCATTTATGTTCCTACCCAGTGTACGATGGTTCTTTTTATGCTCCATTTACACTGGTTATTTTCAAAGAAAGCCTCACATGTGCCTGCAAGAGCAGCAGCTGCAGCCACCATGAGAAAGTCACCTCCTACACTCAGTTTTCCTCCCTCTCCTGTTTCTGTAGCTACTATAGGCAATGCTGACACTGGCGTGAACGTCACGCGTGGGCCAGTGTACTGTCTCTGCATGTTCCCGAAGCCACTGGTCCTCAAGGGGCCTGGACAGCGCTGGGTTCCAGAGATGGGGAGACAAGCTCCCTTTTGCAACTCCATGCTATCTTTTGTCAGACAGGCTCAGAAATGGCTCTACTTGTATTTTGGGGTCTCAAAGTCTCTCACAAATAATTTGGTCAGATCTTGACCCTCACCTAGAACCAACATCTAATGAAAATAGTCCCATTGGTTCTGGCCCTCTACCTGCTGAGCCCAGGGACTTAACCCCAGTGTCCGGGCCAGAAGGGAAGGCTTCATGCTATCCTTCGCTACCTTCTCTCCTTCCTACTGGTCTCCTTCCTACCTTTTTTCTTCCTATGGTGACTGCTGAAATCCGCAAGTATATCAGTGGATGCAAACAGACATGGACAGTGGTGTGGGGAAGCCTGTTAGCTCCACTGGTAGGGTCTGGGATCAATTTGTCCTAAGCAAATATTTGATGATGCTCAACTCAGGGTGTTATGCAAGCAAAAGACTCCAAAACCACATTTCTACCTAAAAAACACCTGAGAATATGCCCACACTTACATTGCACAATTTATGGAAACCACACTTGTGTGAACGTAGTGGGGGCCTGTAGTGGAACATCCTGCATGCTTGTTTTAAGCCAGGAGTGTGTTCTGTGTCTGCTGTCAAGGCCTGCACTGTGCTGGAGCCTTGGCACAGTCAGGGTGTGTCCCCTGGTTATTCCTGTGCCTTTAGGGGGTGATACAGTGCTGCGATCACCAAAAGGCTCAACAAGAGTTTGAACATAAACATCGCTCATGCCACATAAATCACATATATAGGAATCTGTAAGCTGGACTGCCCCAGGACCTGAGTCTGACTGTAATGTGGAAAGGGTGCCAGCCAGCAAATAACTGTTCCAGGAGCCCAGCCTGAGGAAACTCCCAAGGAGTCTAAGCAATTTTTCTTTAATAACATTTGTCACCAGGCCAGAAGGCTTGACTGCTTACAGGCCCTGCTGGTAAAGCCTTTCTCACAGGAGACCATTGAAAGTACTGTGTAATAATGAGGACATGAACTTTGTTATCATGGAGTCCTGGGTCCGTCTTTGCCCTGCCTTTTTATCAGCTGCGGATTTCCAGCAATTTACTTAATCCCTTGGAGTTCCAGCTATCTCTGCAGAATGTTATTGGAGACAATAATACCTGCCTCTGAGGGCTGCTATGGAGCAGAAGGAGAGAAGTATGCACAGTGCCTGGGGCAGCAGCGCCCAGCACACAGTGGCTCCCTTTCTTTCCTTACACCAGTGGTCTTGCCTGAGCGTTCTGAATGGACTCTGAGGGCCTTTGGAACTGGATCATTTCCACAGTCCCTTTGTAAGTTCCCAGGCTGCATTAAATATAGTTTTATTTTGCTTTTCAGAAGCTTGAGAATGATTTCTTAATCAGCGCACCTCTTCAGGCAGAATTAGACCAAGACCTTCTGAATCAGACCTGCACTTCCCTGAAAGCAATAGCCAGGTTGCGAGTGGCTGAGATACTCCCTGATTGCTATAGCTAGAGGTCTGGGAACTTGCCTCTGTTGGAATGGTCTTTACTGGGCTAAGCATGGGGTATGTGGGAAATGGCTTCCGAGTATGGGGTAGAGCAAGTAAAAGGTCATTTTTGCAGATGAAGAATGTAATGTAGTGGCCAGATTTATGAATCACCCACTTCTGAGGTCGAACCGCATCTCTGTCTCTTGCTAAATGCTGCCTTGGCACACAAGTCACCATTTTCTGATTATTTTAATTTTATCATCTGTAGATATCAAATACACGTTATTGCAGGATTGTTGAGATCTAAATAAACTGAGGTATATACAGCAACCGGCATTGTGTCGGCACACTGGAATGGCAGACTTGATTATTATCATTTCATCACTCACCAGAGACACCTCCAGTCACGTAAATGGCCACCGTGACAGCCATCGCAAAGCCAACATTGATAGTGACAATTCCTCCAAACTTGCCTCGACTGAGGATAGCTTGGGCAACAGAGCCACATCCAAGGACCTGGAAAGAAAGGAAACTCAACAGGTAAGTGGATACGGACACTGTCAAAGATATAACAGAAAGTCACAGCAACAAGTATTCTTTAAGCAAACTTGTAGAAAGGGCTGCCTCAGGGTTCATGCAAATCAAATTATAATGAGTTACCTATGCACAGACAACAAAATGCTGGTCCCAAGGCCAAATATGGCTTACAGGTGAGGTTTTTTTTGGGTCTGCACAGTGTTAAAATTTTGCCTACGTCTACACATTGGGTAAGTTCATTCAACATTCCAGATTTCTGGCTTTTATTTTAAATTAACCTTTTTATTTTGAGATAAATGTAGATTCACAAGAGGTTGTAAGAAATAACACAGAAAGATCTCATGTACCTTTTACTCATTGGCTCCTTTTCATCAATCAGATGAAGTAGAGTGGCAGTTGGCCACTCCCTTTAAACAGAGTTAGCGCTCTCCCAATTGGCTCACTTCACTCATGCAGGCCTCCTTTCCGACCCCTGTAGGTGTTATAGTTGGTGATCTCTGCTCTAGAAGCTCCCCCTATAAGCCAGGTCAGGCTCACAATAATATGCACATCTGACAAATGGAAAGGTCATTTGCACCATGTTTCATGCGCATGTCCGATGTGCATGAAAACAAAGGAAAATGGTGGGGGGATAGAACTGGCAATCAGGCCTTTCTAATCCCTGTATGCCTTCTCCCTGATGAGACTGCTGTTCCCTAGAGAGCAGAGGCTGCCAAACTTACTGTTCCTGGTAGTCCCTATGACACCAAGCACACTCTGCTAGCAGCTGTGCAGCAAAAGTGAAGTATGACAGTGAATCTCCCACAGTTTACAGCTGGTAGAGGATATTTTGGAGATGCGGATCAGCATTCAGAAAGGTTTGGAATAAACATATTGTGATACATCCACTAAGCAGAGTACTATGAAGCTATAAAATAGAATGAGGGAGATATGTGTGTACCACAGTGGAAAGAGCCCGAGGTATATTATTAAATTTCTAAAAATATGCAGAGCAGTATGAAAGCACATTGCCACTTGTATGAAAACACATTATATGTATTTCTTCCTATATGTATGAGCTATCACCATGAGAACACAAAGAGAAGAAAATGGGGTAGGAGACAGGGGTAGGGGTAGGAGGTAGGGAACTAGATGACTGGGACAGGTGTTAGAAGAAAACTTTTCATTGTGTATCTGTTTTTTTAAAAACCATGTGTCTTAGTCTGACCATGCTGCTATAACAAATTCCAAAGACTGGGTGGCTTGCACCAGAAATGTATTTCTTACAGTTTTGGGAGCTGGAAGTCCAAGATCAGGGTGCCAGCATGGTCTGGTGAAGCTCTCTTTTGGAGTGCAAACTTCTCTTTGTCCTCACCTGGCGGAAGGGGTGAGAGGGAACTCTCGGAGACTTCTTGTATAGGGGCACTGGTCTCCTTTATGAATGCTCTGCCCTCGTGACCTAATCACCTCCTAACAGTATCACCGTGGGCATTAGGTTTTCAACAAATGAATTTTGGGTAGAGGACACAAACATTCAGGCTGTAGCAACCACATAATTCCTAATTTAAAAAAATAGGCCCCCTATATTCATTGGGCAACCAATTAAAACCATTTAATCCTGGTCCATTCAAGAACCACTTGGTGGGGGAGGGTTACGAGGCAAGGCTGAACAGCCGCACATCATTTTGGTAGGAAAACAACAAGACAAGTGACCCTCAGTCATCCTCATGCTGTGATTTCAAGAACTAGTGTGGTCCTGGAAAAATACATCCGAGACTGGAGGATCATTACATCAATGCTCTTTGCACGTCAAGCTGGTCAAGCTTTCTAGAATACAGAGCCCAGTTCGGATTTCATTACTAAAGAACAACAAACCTCAGAGAGGGCTCAGCATCAAGTAATGAATATTATTTAAGGGCATGTGAGGAAAGGTTTCAGAAACAAATATAGTAAAGGAAAAAGACATTAAGAGTGTGAAGGCTTCTCATCAGGGAAAGAGGATCAGCTATTGTGTCTCTTCTCAAAGAGATGAGAAGGGAAGTCCGGAGCTGAAATGTGAGAGGCTGCGCATAAACAATTTCCTGATCGTGATGAATTAATTCTAAATAGCTCCTCTGGGGTGCATTTGTGAGGTCCTTTATAGAAATACAATTTACAAACAAAGGACATTTAATACATATACCATGATTTTGGTTTACTCTTCCCTGCAGGCAGAGAAATTACCTAGATGATCCTTTAACATCCCCTCCAGTCCCCAGTTCTAAGATATATTGCCTTGCCTTAGTTAACTGCTGGGTAGTAGGGAGAAGCAGGCAGGTTTGACATCTCAAGGGATCATGCTACACGCACACACATGGCAATCTCGGATTTAATCACAGGCCTGGCTCCAGACCCTCCACTGAATTCTGAATAAAGTTACAGCAAGAATATGTGCCCTTATCCCCTTTCAAAAAAAATCCCGAGTCCCTTTCATAGCCTACCAATTTTACCCTCACTTGACATGAGTTTTTTCTAGAATCCCCATCTACTATAATAACTGTCAGAGTTAGACCACACTGGTGTCTTTCTTTTTAATCTAGAGGTAATTAAATGCCCTGGGTGCAACTTCCAAGCTAGCTGGCGTTTTGGTAGCATCTTCTGAAAAGGAGAACAAAATATTACTGACAACTGGGAGGACCCAACTTAGACCACTGAGACAAGAAGAAACACATCCAGACACGACTCATCCTCAGATATTACTGCTTTCTGGGCAAGCGTCTTCTCTCTTTTATGGTCTGATAGCATGCGCTTGTGCTAGTCTGGAGGGGGCAAAGAAGCTTTAAATGGCCAAGTGGGCCCAGGGAGGCCTCTGCCCTGTGAAATTTCATTATGATGAAGACTCTCCTCTTCCACCCCAGATGCTGAAATTGCTTTTTTTATTTTTTTCTTTCCTAGGGAGGATAATCGAGGCTATGAACTGCAGGGAGGGCAAGCAAGAGAAATTAGCAATGTAGGGACTTTAATTACCCTCCTCAGAAATTGCCACTCAGAAGACTGCAGCCCAGATTCACATCATTGCTTCTTAATTTTAAAATACATGTATTAGAGGGTGAAAAAGCAATGAGGAAGTCAGGTAACTGCCTATTGGTATCTTCCCTGGTCTGCCTTCCCCACCTGCATTGACAGCACCAGGGAAGCAGATCTTGGATATTCTAATGAATCGTGGTTGATGGCTGGGGACTTGACCACCCACTCTGGTTTTCCTCGTCTGTGTGCCCAGTGTAACTGTTTCCCTTCAAAAATGAGAGAACTGTCCTTTGTGGTATAACTGAGACATATTACAACATGATTCTCTGCCCTAACCATCGAGTACTGCCACACCACTCCCATTCCTAGACATAAAGAGACCCTATCCATCCTGTCTCAATTTGCTGGGCCCCCTATTTGGAAAGATTTTTTGGACACACCAGTCATCCATCCCTATTCTCATCAAACCTAACCTTTCTTCTCTGAAATTCCCACATGCTACCCATACTATGTAATTACTACTTAGTTGTTTTCCAAGGGCCTGATCTTGAGTTCCTTATCTAGGAACCATCTCTAAGATTCTTTCCCCATGCCAACAGCCCGTAATAGGCCAGTTTGTTCTGTTTTGTTCTGCTTCCTTGGGTGTCATGTTTCCCAAGTCCATCCTTACTCTGGTGCAGGACATCTATCGGCCCTCAAGGTCTCCCACCTTCTTGTCAGGATTTAGCATCTGCTCCATCTAGCTGCCTTCTCCAGAAGAACTGGAAAAATCACAAAACCATGCAGGGGGGATATTATAAAGCCATATATTTGGTTTTCATTGTGTCCTTCACTGTCCACTCAAATCTCATTCACTTCTCATTTGTAGTCTCCCAATAGCTTCACCAAGCCTTCCCTTCTGTCCTCTGCTTAATCCACCCAAGTTCCTTTCTGCAAATACCACTACCTACTACTTGACTCAGCACCTATAAGAGGCCTTAAAGATCAATGGCAATTTGGAATATCACATACACATTGTGTTCCAGTTTCTCAGTGCTGAGTAACTAATTACCTCCAAACCTAGTGCCCCAAATGCTATGATTTATTTTGCTTATGAATCTGCAATTTGGGTGATGTTTGCCAGGGCGTCTCATCTCCACTCCATCTGGTGTCAAATGTGATGGCTCAAAGTTGGAGAATTAGAATTACTTGAGGTCTCACACAATCCTGTGTCTAGTGGTTGATGTTGGCTGCCAGCTGATGCCTTAGTTGGGGTGTCGGCCCAAACGCCTGCAAATGGCCTCGCCATGTGGCTTGGCTTCTTCACAACGTGGTGGTTAGGCACCAACGATGAGCACCATGTAGGCTCCATAGCCTGTGTTCTTAAACCCTGCACCACCCTCTCTCTCAGCCTAGGCACTATGCTCATTCTGACTCAATGGCACAGAAACTGGATCTGATATAAGCACTCTCTCTACAGTTCACCTAGTCCTTTCTGGAC